TAACAAGCCCTTGATGGTTAAAGAATTGCCTTCTTCCACTGGACGATTTGGAGAACAGTCTTCAACAAAAGACCATTTCAAATCATCAATGAACCCTGAGGCTGCTGCAGAGGTCACAGCAGGGACTGAGATCGGCCTCAGCCACCTGGACATTCAGGGCTGGTCCTAGTGGGTGCTGGCACCACCTTGTTGGGCTGGACCTTGGAGTGAGTTTGGGACTTTTTTTTTTTTTCTTCCAGGAAAATAAGTTGACAGATCAGGAAAAGGGAAAGCAATGTGACCTGCAATTCTGCAATAGCCATTTATTGGGCTCCTCTCTCTAGGCTCATCCTTCCTCTAGTCCATTCCGTGAGGTAGCCAGAATGATCTTTCCAAAACACACATTTGGTCATGCCACTCACTTTAAAACTGCCCCATAGTTCCCTACTGCCCCCTGGCATTGTTAATTCAACTGCATCTCCTTGCCCTCCAGGGCAGATCCTGGCACAGGGGCCCACAGTACTGGGTGAGGCACCGCCTCAGAGTCTGACAGTGAGGCGCAGGACGGGCCTGGCGCATGTTCCTTCCCATAGAACACAGGGAAGTGTTTTTTCAAGGGTGCTGAACACAAGAAAAACCATGTTTAGAGTTTCATTTTAAATTTCTGCCTTTTGAGGGGGAAATCTAAGATGACTAAAATATATACACCGTGGCACATTAGGGGCCACCATGGTTTACAAAGATATATTTTAATTCCTCAACATGTCATACGTCCCTGGCTTGTGGCTGCAACTTCCCTCTCGGTTGTGTGTGTCCTGCAGCTCTGTCCGCACTTGCCTGGTGCGGCTTAAACGCGCCTCTATTTGTCTCCCTCTTGTGACTCTTAAGTACTGAGCTTGGTGAGGGTAGGAGCAGGGCCTGGTGCATTGTAAGAACCCCAGGACCTACCCCAGTCCCAGGCCAGAAAGGACTTCAGTGTAACCTGGGCTTTGTACCTCCAAGGGGTGTTAATAACAGAGATTAGGACTCTTCTGCTTATTGCAAAAAAGAGTGACAGCGAAGCCCAGGTATTCCCTGCGTCTGCCGCACCTCTGCCGCTGCCCCCACCCCCCACGGTAATGTCAGAAATTTCAGGTGAGGGCCTGAAACTACAGCCCAGAGGTTATTTCCATCACCTAACAAAATGCTTTGCACAAAAGGCACTGACTTTTTAAAGCTACACGGCAATGAAGTCATACACAGGGAAAGTCTCAATGTTCTAGTTCTAATAGACTAATATTAACAAAAATGTGTAAGGTTTAAGAGAGTTGCAATTGCTGTATAATATTATACATAAGAGTGATTGGGCACTTACTATGTGTCCAGTATACTTCTAAAGGCTTGACATGTATCTCCTTAATTCTTAAGCAACCAGTGAGGTAGGTGCTCTTATCATTTCATGTTATAGGTGAGAGAGAGTGAATCTGCAGTTTGCCAAAAGTTACATAGCTAGCAAATGATAGAGCCGAAATTTAAATTAAGTAGTCGAGTTTGAGTCTCAACGTGGACTCCTCAATCAAAGACTGGGATCTCATCAAGCTTCGTGCTCCTGCAGAGATGCTTTCCAGAGTTACTCTGATTGGATGAGGATAAGGCACCAGCTCAGCCTTTCCACATCTGCCTCCAACTTAGGTCTCCTGCCTTGAAGCAAAATCTCCCTGGGTCCCCTCTGTGCCACTCTCCCCAGATACCTCACCTTTACTTGCCAAATGCTGCAAACTTCCATGGTTTCCACCTTGCCATTTGCTGTGTCTAGCAATCTCCAACTTTTAATGCTACCTCCTCTCACTTCTCCTCCTCCTCCAGGCAGAAATAGCCACCCCTCACCCACATGCCCACAATGATGGGCCATCTGCAAACGCCTCTACTATTCTCACAACTTGTCACACTCAGCGTCTGCCCCCTCACTAGACTGTGGACTTTTCGAGGAAAAGCGCTGTGTCTGACCTTGAGGCCAGTCTCATCAAGGAGAAAAATTAAACGAAAACACCAGTGTACCAACCCAAATCAATGAAAAGTAATTTATCTCATCTAAGTCAGGCTAATAATTGTTGACAGGAAGATCCCATTCACCACACAGAAGAAACCTTTCAAAGATACACATTTGTTCTGTCTGAATTCCATGGTAGTTGCTCTGAAAATCTCCACTCTCCCTAAATGCTCATCAAGAACACAGCCGTGGTACAGTTTCATCTCTCCTTTTGCAGTCTTTTCCCCTTCTGGATCTTTCCATGCCTTAGGCCAGGAACTTTGTCTTTGCCACATGAATCCAGCCAGCCCCCCTATCTCTGTCCTATCAATACCACATCGTCTACAGTGTCTGGCACAAATAACGCCCCTTTTTTTAATTACAAAATGATAAGCATGTAATTGTGTAACATAACATCACACTCAGGCACATCATATGACATTTTAGGTGAAATATTCAAATTAAAACTATAAATTATTACACCCATATTATGACCCTACCAACCACTCTCAAGCAGGCGTTACTTCTGCCGGACCCTGTATGTGCAGCAAAGAACTGAGGGCAGGGTGGGCTGGGAGAAGGCTGTGATAGTAAAGCATTTACATTTTCTCTTATCATGCCCACCCTTGTGTCCTCAGTTGCTAATAACCAGGCCTGGCACATGACTGGTGCTCCTGAGAGACTTTCCTTTTTCGCTCTCTCCTTCCCTTTGGGAAAAAGCCCAAATATATCCAAGGCCTTTCCCAAGCAGGCCCCGACATTCCTTCTCCTCTTTACCTCCCGTTTCTCCCTAATGGAGTGCTAGGCTTCAGCCAGACAGACACAGGGCACCAAGTATGCCCTTTCCCAACTCCCTCCCCAGCTTCGCTCAGCCCTCTTCTCTCTTGGGCCTCCCTGCGTCTCAACACCCACGCTGTTCCAGCCCTGGTCCGTTTCAGTCTCTCTTGGCCTGGACAGCCTGCCCCATCACCCTCACCACCCCTTCCGGGGATCGCCGCTCGCTACCTGGGCCCTTCCTCCTGTAGTGCCATGTCACCTGATTCAAGCCACAGATGGCTTTCTCATTAGTGCCTCAAACTGACTTTTTGAGTCCTTTTATTGCCTCGTCTAGACTGTAAGTTTCTTAGAAACAGCAAAACTAATTCAATTGATCAGCAAGCTTAAAAAAATTATAACTCCAGCAGGGTATTACTATATTTCAAGAAGTCTTAGATGCATGATAAGACACATCTGAATTCTGAAAAGCTAACATGTGAAAGATACGTGTCTTAGATGAAATGCGGTATAAACTTCTTTCCTGAACTTCTGTGCCTTGAGCACACCAGGCATGCTCGGCCTTTGTGTTTTGCCCTTGGTGTCTCCTTTATCTGGAATGTTCTTCCTGCCAGTCTTATTCCCTCACCTCTTTGAGATCTGTGCTCAAATGTCACCTTCCTTGTGAGGTCTTCCTTCAGCCCTATTTGACATTGAAACACTGCATCCCCGATTTTCATTTTTTTCCTCCATAGCATTTATCACTGCTGACACATTATCTATTATTTGTTTCACGCCAGTGTTATTTCTACGAGACTGTCAACACTAGGAGGGCAAAGGTTTTGTTTACGGCTGTTGTCCTCAGTGTCCAGAACTGAATGTGGCGCATAATAGGCAGTCGATAACATTGCTGAATGCATGGAGTCCGAACTTCATCAGGGCAGGGACGTGTGTTTTTGCTCACCACTCACATCCCCCGGGCTCAGTGCCGTAGGTGGCAAACAGTGGGCACTCAATTATATATTGACTGAGGGATGTACGTAGCTCTGATGCCCTAGGTGACTCGCTTATGGCCCTCTGGCCTGGCAAGAGAAGAGCAAGGAGGCCATTCGGCTGACTTGCGGGGTCTTTTGTCCCACTGGGTAGTGATTGCTTAATTCTCTATTTGAGGAAAGAGACTTTTTTGAGAAGGCTTTCTCCTGGTCTCCCCAATGCGCAGTGCACTGCTTTTGCACGTAAGTGTGGCTGCAATAAATATTTATATGATGTGTTTTAATGCAGCATAATATTGCAATTAGGACAGAGCTGCTACAGTTCCTCAGAGGTAAACCGGCCATGCAGGTGCTCGCTGGCCTCTCAGAGAAGTAGGGAACAAACAGCACAAAGCGCGCCTTCCCACCTGCAAAGGGCTTTCCAAAATCCAGGCTCAAGAGCTTTCTGGCCTCTTCCGCACGTTGACCATGACCATTTACCTCCCTTTTTGGGACCAGACGGCCTTTCCTGCCCATCTCCCCTTCTTTAAATAGGGGTCTGGCGGGGAAATGACGGGGGGAGAAGCCCACCCTCGATTCTCTATCCGGACCTCCGCGGCTCAGGAACGGCCGCGAGGGGTCCCCTTCCCCGGCCCTCCGCCAGCGGGGCACGCGCGAGCGGGGGGGCGCGCAGTGGCTTCGCGCGGGAACGCGCGCGCGTGCCTGCCTCGCCTCCCTCGCCGGGTCCGGTGGCTACGTGCTTTCTTTGTCAATGAGGCGCTGCTTTGAGCTGCAATAGCACTCTCAGCACGGGAACCGGAGCCGGAACCCGAGACCGCGCTAGCGAGCGAGCGAGGAGAGCGGGGCGGAGAGGCCGGAGCTGGCGGTGGGAGGGAGGGTCCCGCGTGCGCTTTGCGGTCGCCAGCCCCCGCTCCTTGCAGCCTCGCTCCCTCAGTCAGTAGGAGCTGCCCGGGGGAGGGGACCCCGGGCGGCGCCCATCCCACCCTCGCTGCCCGGGGCGCGCCGGCGCGCAGCGACAGCACCGTGGGAACCCCGGTCCGCACCCACCGCGGCTCCATGCGGCCCCGGCCCCTGCGCGGTTGACACCGCGGCTCCCGGAGCGCGCCCCGGCGCGACAGGACGAGCGAGCAAGTCGCGCCGCCAGGCGCTTCCACCCTCCTACCCCCCAGCCATGGCCGGAGATGCCCGGTGAGGACCGGGGCGCCGAAGCCTGGGCTCCCCGGCGCGGTGCGGAGCGAGGCAGCGGCCTGGATGTATGAAGTGTCTCCATGGCTCTGCAGGAGGCGAAGCCCCAGGGCCCAAGAGAAACTGGACTGGCGGCGCGGAGGCGCAGGGGCCGGCCCGGGACGCGCGGGCTCGGTGGGGTCGGCGGCGGAGCGGCGTGCAGCCCGGGCGTGAGAGGCTCCGGACCGGCGCTGGTCCCCCGGGCCGCCGCGTCCCAGGAAGCACCGCTGCCGCCGCCGCTGCCGCCGCCGCCGCTGCTGCTGCTGGGACTCCTGCTGCTGGCGGCCCTTCCTGAGCACTGCCTGGCCGACCCGGGTAAGCACTTGGCGGCTGCTTTGCCCTCGGGGAGGTTTCTCTAGGAGCAGGGCCGCCCTTCAGGGTTGGCACCTGGCTGGGCGGCGGTGGAGGGAGAGGTCTGTGCAGCACCGGTGCGGGGATGTTCTCCGCCTTTTGCAGCTGCAACAGCAGGCGAACTGTCAGAAATGTGTCTCCCGGGAAGGCACCGCTGGGCGGGGAAGTAAAAAGAGGTGCTTTCGCATCTTGTTTCTGGACAAGTTGCAGGTCCTTTCTAGTGGTCCCGCAGGCACGCTTCATTTAGATAAAGACGTGGTGTGGTTAGGACACTTTAAAAGGGATGTGTTTTAGTAAGACACATTTCAGGGTGGGGATGTCCACTATATTTGGGGCTCTCTGTTGGGTGTCCACTTTGTTTTAAATGCATGAAATTGCCAGATTTTTAGGCAGTTCCCATGTGGACTTACCAAATAGCCCTGCCCACTCAATGTTGACAGGGGACGCCTTTTCTTTTGGGATGGAGGTACTTAAAATAATTGCTTTCATGTTACAAAGGGATGCAGGCACTGATCAAGTATATATAATCCACTGTTTACAGCAGGTTAGTTAATAATCACGCTTGGCTCTCAGACTTCCAACAATCCTCAGGAAATAGATTCCTGCAATTCCTTGGATGACTTGAGAAATCTGTTGTAACTATTTGGGGAGAATTACTCTGCAAATGTGCTTTCAATTTACACTGTGCATTCAGCAATTGTCTTTGAAATAAGAATGATTACTAAGGTACTTGTAAAGGGCAGGCTTTTGTTTGTGATGAAATTCTGGGCTCTTGGTACATTCCATTTATCAAAGAATATAGTTCTCACTTCAGCTAATATGATCCTATGGTTTTGTGCTTTTTAGCAAGGACTAATGAGGGCTGCTTTTCTTTCCAGTGTGCCCCTTGCCCCAAATTAGATTACATTATGAAGGAGCTCACACTTTTAGATAAAGAGGGTTTCAGGTTTAAAATATTTCTTATTTTCAACAGCTTAGTTCAAAGCCCAGTTTCCTTTGATTTATTTAAAGTGTCACTGACATAAGGTGTCTGTGTGTGCAAGTGACTATCTAGGAATTTTCTATTGTGATTATAGTGGTTACAAAGTTTGATAATCTTGGGCTGTGTGCCTGAGACCTGAGAAAAGCCCCTGAATAATTTTAACCCTCAATTTTTATGCTTCTAGCACTTTTAAGTGGATCAATTTGATATCATGGTTAAAAGGTAAGTACTGAGCCAGACCCATGTAAATGACTCCATAGTCATTGGCTCTCACACACACTTGGAGTTTTTACTTAAAATGAATCAGATCCTCGGTAGATTTGTAAACTGTTTGTGAGACATTAACTTTTTGGATGTTCATGTGAGGGCAGATACGTAAAATGGTCCAACCGTCTGTAATACGTGAAATTTGGATGTGTGTATTTTTCCTATTCAGCCTGATGATGTCAGATGATTTCCTCTGGTTTTGAATTTCTGATTCCCCTTCCGGCCCCTGTACATTGACCTTCTGAACCTCTGTGACTTGACTTGGCTCTTCTTTCAGACTGTCAGACTTAGGGGACTTCTGATCTATATCTTTGGTTTTTGCCAGCGTGTCGTTTTTCTTCTTTCTCTTCGTATGGTGATCATGGGGATCACTAGGAAAGGTGATTAAAGTGATGGTGAAAAGTCATTACAGTTGATTTTCCCCAAAGCTATCTCCCCCCCTACCCCCCGTCCTTGGAGTGACTTGTTGCCTCCTCTGTACTTTTTGGGTCCTCATTGTGCCATGACACTGATGAACAGTTCCTGGTGGTCCAGCTCACCTGTGGGTCCGTAGTCTACCGCTGGGCTCCATGGTTTCCAGCATGTTCGTCCCTGATTCAATTTCACAACTTGTTTCTCTCTCAGTGGAAGAGTTGAACACTGGGCTCCCTGTCTTGCCTCCTACCTGCTTTCATCTGTTCTCCGATTTCCACTTGAGGCAGCTTCACGGCAGGGAGGGCAAGTCCTGGGCCTAATGCGGGGCATCCTAGGGAGTTTGGGTGAAGAAGCAGTGTCAGGAGGGAGGCAGGGGAAGAATGGATGACACTTTTCTGGGACCTTTGGCTTGCGAAACACAACCAAGCTTTGAAATTTTCCTGAGGGGTAGCTGCAGGTGGGTGCTGCTACTCATGGCAGAATATGTTCCTAGCATAAGGAGCCAGACCCGTGATGGTGAGATCCTGCTGCAAGAGCTGGCTCGCTACAGTCCTGTCGTTTGCATCATTGCTCTTCCTTGCTTTCTAAGCAAGGCTAAGCTAGGCATTTGCTGCTGTTGAAAAGGGGGTAAAAATAGGTTCGTTTCTGGAAAATGCCATAGCAGTTGTTCAGAACCTTCGTGTCCTGGGGCCCCTGCAGTGTGTTCCCAACCCACATCCATCCACTACACCCCAAGTTCTTTTGCTTTAATATTCCTGAGGATTCGAGGTTCCTTCTCTTTCCTTTTCTTCTAAGGAAAGACAGCTGCCTCGAGTGTCCTCCCTCAGACTTCCTCCCCTCACTTCCATCTCCACAGAACCCTTGCTTGTAAGCAGTAACTTCGGCTTTGGATGTGGGAGATTGGTGTCGGAAAGAATGTTCTTTATAGCAGCAAGCTCTGACGCCCTCTATTTTCCCCTGCCCTCGAGGGCTCCAGACCCTTGCGTGAAGTTCAGATTTGACTTCCTCATCTTCTTAACTGGTCACCCATTCAGCTCATGCCAGTAAACATTTACTGTCTGCTCATTGGTGCAGGCGCAGTGCGCATTCCTTTATGTGACCTTGTCTTTCTGGACCTCAGCTCTCGGATCTGTAAACCTGGGATAAGGACAACTCGTATCTGATTGCATTGTTTTGAGGATTAAATAATACATCTAAAGTGTTTAAAACAGTGCTTGGTACATAGTGAATGCTCAGTGAATGCTAGTGTTCTAAAGGGGCAGAAATTGACTAAAGTTACTGTGCCCGTGTGCTGTGCTGAGGCAGGGGATAGAGAGGTGAGTTAGGATAGGATCGAAGTTTGTAGAAGCCTCTCATGAAGAGAGTGATACGTATCCTTGAACTCTGATATGTGTGATCAGATCTAATAAAATGAGGGAAAAGTTAATTCTGGAAGAACAGGGGCTTTGAAGGATGAGTGGGTGTTGGCAGGATTGATGGTAACATTTCAGAGGAAAAGGAGAGGGTTCATCGTGGCTGGAACACAGGCTGTTAAAGGGAGGGGAACCCGGGACACATTTACTGTCATGGGGCTTTTCCCTCCTCTCAGGGGGCTCCACCCACTTGGCTCTCCCCAGAAGGATTCTCCCCTTTTCCCACCAACTTGTAAATTCCTGATTTATCTCTGTTTTCCTTGCGCCTGTTACAATGCCCAGCAGAGAGTAGGCACTTACTACATTTTCAGCCTTTTTTCATGCCTATTCCCTCCGTTTGGCTGATTCTGTTAGATGTTAGAATAATTATCTTAAGTAATCCACAATAAGTTGTGAATGACTGCCTTAGTTAAGGAATTAATTGCATTTTGAAAGAAGGATTTGCTGATACCAGGGAATCTCTAACTTAGCACAATGTATGGCGGAGATAGTTTTGACTTAAGATGTGCTGCCTCTCTCCAACCTTGTATACGCCATCAGCTGGGAGTCCCATTTGAAAGAGGTGCACAGTACATTTGTTCATTCATTCATTCAGTATTTCTTGAGTGTCTCAGCTTTCTGAGGTTATGGTAATGAATGAAAACAAGCTCCCGTTCTTGCGGGACTTAGGAACTAGCCCAGTGCTTTCCAAACTTTACTGTGCATGGAAGTCACGCAGAGTTCCTGGTAACATGCAGAGGTGCTGATTCAGTGGGTCTGGAATAGACCTGAGGTTCTGCACTTCCAGCAAGTATGAGGTGATGTCTGCAGTTCATTGACCCCACGCTGAGCAGCAAGTGACAATAAAGAAATTAATGTGGGTTGGATGGAGGTAAGACAAAAGTCTTACTGCAATGGCATTAAGAGAGAAAGGAAGAACAGAAAAAGAACCAACTTAAAGTCTTTTCTACAGAAGGAAGCAGAGTAATAGGGAGGGGTCCTTACACTTTTTACTCTCAATATTAATTATTAGTGCCTCAAAATATTTGCAACATGTCCCAAACCTTGTGTCCCTTTTATCCCCCATCCCACACACAAAGTCAAATCAAGACTTCGGGAACAGAAACACTGTGCTTTTAATATTGACATAGGACAGAAGTCAGATACCCGCTTCCTGCCCTGCATCCTTCCTAAAAAGAGAACATCACTGTGGAATCTCAGAGAAACTGAACTTCTGACAGAGAGTTTTTCAGAAGCTGGCTTATCTCAAGTCTTAAATTACGAGAATATGATCTGAGAATATTCAAAATGAATGCGCATGCTTCCTTCATTTTCATTAACCTTCAAACCCTTATTGTGATTTTTCTCCTTTCTTTTTCTTTTTTTTTAAACAAACAACAACTCTACTCTTCTCCAGACAAAAATGAATAGTTGGAATGACCCTAAAACATTTTCATTGCTTGACAACATGTTACAGGGGATTTCTAAACACACAGAGGGACACATTATTCTGTCACAGGATGATTGCCGTGGATGATGACTCTCTCTGGGGACTCCAGGACCAAAGGCACAGTTAACAACCTGGGAATTGTTGATGTCAGTTATTGTGGCTGGTGGGAAGGTGGCAAAGAGTCATACTTATTTGGCAATGTTTATCAAGTGCCTGGCATATGCCAGGCCAAACCTTTCATTAGGTACTGGAGGTTTAGTGGAGAGCAAGCCAGGCTCAGTGCCTTCCGTCAAGCGGCCTGTAGCCCAGGATAAGAAACCCCTAGTGGGTGGAGAGGCAGGTTGGTAACATAACTCTGTGGATTGGGTCATGGGAGGGAATGTGGCAAGACAGAAGGTAACTGCCTTGTCCGTAGAGACTGTCGCCACTCAGCTGCAGCCTACGAAGGAATGGGGCTCAG